TAACCCCTATATGACCCTATATAGCCCTACTATGTCCCGACATAAGCTGGGCTCCAAACCGTGGGCCTCCGTTCGCGCCGCCTGGCAGGAGGCACCCCTAATTTTGGGTTTAGGGTTTAGGGTTTAGGGTTTAGGGTGACCCCCATGTACGAGATCTTCAGAAGAGAATCTTCCAAAGCAGTCCATGGGAATGTGCTCGGCTTCTGCAAAACTCAGCTGCTTGCCAAGGCAACGTCTTCTCTGTTCAGCATTTTGTGATGCCTGCTCTCTAATAGAATGGTAGGCACAAACTCCCTGCATCTCATTTCTCTGACGCGTACGCGGTACTTAGTGGTGCCCCCGAGTTCTTGGTGCTAGCGCGACTGTTGTTTGTTTCTGGGGGAGGGAACCTTTGTGAATCTTGGAGAACACGCCCAACGTAATGTGTACCTTGTTGGGAGTCCCTATAATAAGGACTATAGTATATTGGGGTTTATATTGGGGTACCCTAATTTTGGGAAACTACCACATCTGCAGCTATCAAAGCACCCAAGAGGCTAAGTTGCTGATGAAAAGCAAGGGTTTGGGGTTTGGGGTTTAGGGTTTAGGGGTGCCGTTTGAACCGTAGATTCAGTGAGGACGGGGTTCGTCCCAAAAAAAGACTTGAGCCCCTAACCATAAACCCTAAACCCTATGTAACCCTCAACCCAAAAATCTGTCCCGGAAATGCCATCCCAGAAGCAGTTCCCATTTTCTTTTCCAAAATATGACCCAATATAAGCCCAATGTAACCCCAATCCAACTCCAATACATTAGGAATTTTGTTTTTGATGGCACAACTCCAACTTCATCCAGTTCTCATGGTGCTCCCTAGCTCAGGAATTCAATGCTGTCACCCCCGCCAATATTTGGGGAGTTTCACAAGAGGTTATACAGGGATATGTAGGGCTGAGGGTTTCCCAAAAGTGCTGGGTCCCTTCTTGGGGGTCTCCATAATAAGGGTGATAGTGTTTGGAGGTCTATATTGGGGTCCCCCTATTTGGGAAACTACCATTTTGCATATCTAGAACCGAACCAGCAGGCTGTTGAAGGCCTATCTTGCTGCTGGATCCCTCCATTTGCAACGCATCCGCCTGCTGTGCGCTGTAAGCCTCTTTGGCTTTTGTCAGCTCCTGTCAGCTGTGGAAGCAGAGATATGAGGTTCAGAGTGCAGGTCTCGAGGGCCAAGAACAATGAAATGCATGAGATGGCTGCCGATGCTTCTGGAGGCCTATCATGCATGACTTTGCTCGTGACCCCGGGGTTCGTTGCAGCCTGCTGTAGCCTTGGTCCTGAAACATGCCGCAAACAAAACTAGCCTGCAAGACTCCTATGGGTTAGGGCTTACGGGTGCTACTCATATGAAGAGGGTCTGCAGATGTATGGATCCATTTTTTCTGCAGATTGTCTTGTGATGCATCAGCAGCATCTGGATGGTTGAAAACCTTGGGAAGGCCCCCGGCTTCCGGCACGCGGACCGCACAATTTCACATTGACAGCTTGTCTGCATGAACTCACACGCGCATGACGGACATCCTCAGTTTTTACTATGCCAAACCCACCCCAAAACTCATGAAGCATCTCATTGTTGTTCACTCGTCTTAACATCAAGTTAACATCAAAGCCGAATCCATGCCAAAGATGCACGCATTGCTGTGCACGGACCTTTTCTGGTGTGAGCGAACAAGCGGGCAGTTCTCACTAAAGGGCCCCTTTTTGCGCCAACACATCTGAGCCTTACCATTGGGGATAAGAAAAGGGTCCCTCAGTTTTGACAACAATCCATGCGCATCTCACACCAAAGAAGGCCTTAATGTGGAGAATCCTTGGTTTGGCAGCAAGGTTGATGGGCTTGCCTCTTAGGCTTATAGCCCCCCTTAAGTAGATAGGATATGGGGTATAGGGGGATCTTACTATGATTTACCCGACGCCATATTCTATCTACTTAAGGGGGACTATAAACCTCAGGGCTTCCAAATCTCCCTGGCGTGCGGGGAAATGGGCATCTGCACCCCCGCTCCGTCCTCTTGCTGAGCCACTTCAAATTCGCAGCTCAGATAGACCTGGCTGAAACCCTGTCGTAATTCGTTGTTACCCATTCTAGGGGCCACTATGCTTTCAGAACGTTTGCTGCAGTGGTTTCGTTGCATGTGCTTCCAGCTGAAGGCCATGAAGCTGCGCTGCTCCCCAGAAAATGGAAAATGCTTTAAGAATTTACTGGTTCTTAGTAGTGAATCAGGGAATCTAATCCCTGCAGAACCCATATATATACCACATTCCCGAATTCCCTACTAAGATCCAGTAAGGAAAAATGCCGTAAGAAAGCCTCCAAACCCTAAACCCTAAATCCTAAAACCCTAAACCCCTAAACCATAAATATAACCCCAATATACTATATGTAGTTTCCATTTTCTTTT